CATCCAAAAACTTCAGTGGTTTCTCAGATTACAGCAGTGATGTCCAACAAAACTTTCTGCTATAACTGTCACCATCCATATCCATACTGTCCAAATGATGTAGCTCATATATATGTGATGATCACATAGATAAAATGTAGGCATTTTGCTCATAGGAATAAAACTTTCACTATACAATTTTAACAAGTTTAAATAGCCAAAGGTGGGTACCATATTGGACAATGCTGGTAGAAAGTAAATCCATGAAGCTGGGTGCTGGTGGGTCATGCCTGAAACCCTAGCCTTGTAAGAGGCTGAGATCTGAGGATCATGGTTTGAAGCCAACCTGGGCAGAAAAGTCTGTGGGACTCTTATCTCTGATAAACTACCTAGAAAAAACTAAAAGTAGCACTGTAGCTCAAGTGGTAGAATGCTAGTCTTGAGCACAAAGGGATCCAGGGACAGTGCCCAGGCCCTGAGTTCAAGCCCCAGGACCAGCAAAAAAAAAAAAAAAAAAGCAGATCCATGCTCTTCTCCCAAGCATTCAAGTCCTATACAGCTGAGCCCTAAGCTATTACTCCATCCTCAATTTCCACAACATAAACTCTGAGTCTAAAAGATCGATGCTGAACATACTTGAATATCTCTGATGCCATACCTGGACCAAGAAACTTAAACCTTGTCAATAAGAGAACTTTCCATCCTTAGTGCTTGGTATTTGAATTTTACTCATATTTCACAGCACCCATCAAATTCTACCAGTGACAATGGGGGGGGGGGCAAAAGGTGCTGTGCCTTTGGAGAACTTCCAGGCCTCCCGGGGAAATAAAATTTTATGCATATAAAATCTCATGTCTTATATAACCCACTTGTATAGCCATGAAAATGTAGGTTTTGCATCTTGAGCTTGGAATCATAGCGGCTGGTGTGGTCTGCATACTCAGTGTGGATCCCCAAGGGCTGGGGGCATTTAAATCTACTTCAGCTTCTACATGGCGTTTGCAGAGCCCTATTCCCATTGCATTTTTTCCCACCTAGACTGAATACTTCCTTAACAAAGAACTTAACAAAGAGATACTCTTATTGGTTTCTCTTTGGTTTGTAAGCATTGGAGTTTATAAGTTCTAACTAGTGGCAGAGATTATTTTCTTCTGGAATTAGTGTAGTTTTTAGGAGAGTGAGAATGAATAATTCCTAAATAAGAAAATGATCTCACATATAATATTAATTCTCCCACAGATCTGCAGATTTATATGGTTATATATGTATATTTAATGTATATATATATACATATGTAAAAGCATGATAGATTAAGAATATAGTATAATCTCTACTGAGGTTCTAGTGCTACTGAAAAATACTAAATGCTATGTTTAATACTTTAAATTTTATATAAGATCAAGATTGAAATCAAGGGAAAAAATCTCTAGGTATCAGAAAAACACTGCAGTGAGGCAGGAAGCTCACAGTGGCTGGAACAGGTGATGTGTTGAAGGATTGATTTCAAATCCCAATGTGACTGGACTCAGAGCAGCAGGACACAAACATTCCAAACAGACCTAGAACTTTCCCTGAAAGGAGCTCACAATGTACATATGAAGGATTTGATTTGTGTAATCAGTCAAAAGCAAACATGTAGAATGAGAACTTGAAACACCAAAGTAAAACCTGGTCAAAGCCATGTGTTCAAACAGAGACAAATGCAAAAGTATCTCTTCAGATGGCCTCCACAATACAAGGCAGAAGACTCTGCAGTAATTCATTTCTTTGGTACATACACTCAGTGGCAAGATTGAGAACCCAGAGAAGAAAATTTGGCAAAACACCAGGAAAAATCATGGTGGAGCTAATCAGTTAATAAATTGGTCTGCAAAAGGCTTTAAAGTAGGTATAATTAAAAGAGATATAAAAATAGTTATAATTAAACATGGTATTAAAAATTCAAATGAAACAGAAGTATAGAAAGTCAAAGTGTCCCACTTAATCTCAATTTCAGATATAAACTACAGCTGAAAGTATGAAGAAAACCTTCGCTGACTATAGTGATATACAGAAGATATTGTTACATAAATGAGACCATTGTTCCATACATGACAGTAGCCTATCTTTTTGCATCCCTTCCCACTTAAAAGTATTATCACATGCATATTCCCACATGAAATAAATAATAGGTATAGGTCTCTTGCAGCCTTCTTTAAAAAAAAAAAAAAAGAGTTCCATTGCAGGAACATACACTATTTCTTTAGCCTGCATCCTATGGATGGATACTTGAGCCATTTTCAATGTTTTTCTCTTATAAACAGTGATACAACGCCCACTCCCTCATAGCTATCTTTGTACATTTGATTGTTTCCTTAGGATAAATTCCTAGAAAGGGAATTACTGGCCTGAAAATTATATCCATGTAAAAGTTTAATACCTTCTATCAGAGTGCTATCCAGAAAAGCAATACCAATTTATTTACATTACCAAATGGCTTTAAATACATGTACTTCTGGCCAGAGGTTTAATAAGTTTAGAGGAGGTCAAGATACCAGAGATTCAATTACCAGCCTGAGAAAAGAAGATGACTCACAACTTACCCTCTAAATGTAAGAGAAGAGAAAATGTAAATGTGTTTACACATGCATAAAACAAGTTCATATTATCTGTGGGACAGAAACCTCAGGATCTGTGTGACACCAAAGCCTGTAGTAATCATCCATTGTCTTCCCCAACAACAACTTTTGTTTGTTAAGGGAAAAAATTAAAGCAGGCAACTATTTCATCTAAATATGATATCAAAGTGAAAAGCTCCTGAATATTCTTCAAGCTCCTTTGGGCATTTATTATAGATCATTTATACAAATTCAGATAAACCTAGTTTCCAATAAGTGACCTATTAATGAGGAAGGGCTCCTACTGAGATCTATATCATGAATGAATTATGTTATCAGTACTACAGTAACTACAATGGGAAACCACTCCAAAATTCAGGTTTTTCTATTAGAGCACTAATTTAAAATAATTCACAAGTAATCAAATCCTATCAGATTTGAACCAGATTTTTCTATTAACAATTTTTATAAATAAAAGAAGTATAACATTGGAACGTTTATCATTAAACTAAAATCAGACAAGTTATCAAGAGTTGTCTTTTATCCCACCTTTACTTTGAGTATGCTAGACATCAGTATTATTATTTTTTTAATCCTATTCAAGCAAGCTCTATTTTAATCTTCTTACTAAAAGAAGATGCTGACAACATTTTTTTCCCTGTTTTATTTTTTTTCAAGATGTCTGTGTGGCTCCTCAGACTAGTCAAGTTTAGTCAAGATAGAAAGGCATTTACTTCAAACGCTGCTCACAGAAAAACTTCAAGAGCCATCAACCAATTTCCAGCGAGACTCAACTGTTTTCAGCTAAAATGCCTAGTGTGAAACACCTGTAATCTCTCCCTCAATCCCTACTCCCTACTTCCAGCCACATGCACAGATATTCGCATGCACAATTAATGACATTAGTTGTTAACCAACTAAGCTAAGGAAAGGAGGTAACCACTGAGATTATTCAAAACTATAGATAAAGCAAAAAGGAAAAAAACTCAAATTTTAATTTGGAAGACCTTATATAGGGAAAAGCAAAGCAACCTTTTGACTTAAGGGTTTTTGTGGTGCTTATATTCGTTTTTCAATCTTTGTAAATTTTCATTCATTCAACAAGCAACAGAAAAGGTGTTTTCTTGCAGGGAATATACAAAGGGAGGAATCAAATGTCATATGAACATTAATGCCTTCATTTTCCAATGGAAAAAAATAAAGCAAACATCTTCAACACTGAATATTATCAGTGGATTCAGACAGAAACTCATAAAGTGCCAATCTCATTATAGAAAGCCCTTCTGAGAAGCCACCCATCAAAAAGTCACCAACTGGGCTTGGAATGTGGCTTAATGGTAGAGTGCTAGCATGCCTAGCATGCATGAAGCCCTGGGTTCAATTCCTCAATACCACATACACAGAAATAGCCAGAAGTGGTGCTGTGGATCAAGTAGTAGAGTGCTGGCCTTGACCAAATAGGAGCTCAGGGACAAGGTCCAGGCCCTCAGTTCATGCCCCAGGACTGGCAAAAGAAAAAAAGAGTCATCTTGAAAGATCTGTCACAGCCATCCCTGCAGACCATGCAGAGGCAGGAAGGCACAGGAGAAAGATGATTACAAGGTTTATTAGAGGAACTATATTTGCCCCAGAGAGAGAACACATGGCAGCCTCCACTATCCAGGTAGCAGCAGGGTCTGAGGGTTAGGAAGTGAGGTAGATGGGAGTTCAGATGGGTCTGGGTGGAGAGAGGGAGGGGCCAGCTGTATGGCTGGAACTCCAGGGCTGGGAGGGGTCAGGTCTGGGTGGGGCTGAGGATCAAAGATGGGCATAATGCTTAGCTACCCTCAAAACCCCGCATTTTCATAAATCTTTACCATGTTGTCAATTTTATTATATCTCCATTTATGCTGATAAGCAAGTATCCTACAGCAAAAGAGAAAAATGTTTATTAATTGAAGTCCTGGGATCATTATATTTAATTACTGCCTATGATAAAAAAAAAAAAGATGGCACACACCTAACCTTCTAAATGCAACAGAAGAGAAAATGTAGCATTTTCTTGAAATCTGCCGACCTACATACACTTCATAAGGTACCATTAGTTAACATGAGTTGTCAGCAAAAGCCTTTTATGCCCAGACTTTTACAAAATGTTTCCATAAGTACCAAAGTATTTGATCTGCTCAAACCAGGGGAAGAGGTAGAGTTTATGATTCCCACTTTAGGGATGGAGAATCTGAGACTCAAAGTGACATGATGCCTAGTATCCTAAAGTAGTAGCTTTAAGCCCAAGATGGCCTTCTCTAAAAGCTGTGCGATGAGATTTATCACTTTTCCTCAGGATGCATGCTCATGGAAGCATGGCCAGGTTTTTGTGGTGGGACCATAAAGATAGCAGAGCTGTGGCTTTAGCTTCTCTTCAGTTAACAGTTTACTACTTACCTTAGTTGTCTCAACTTCTCCCTGAAGTCTCTTGGGGGTTCCTTTTTGGTCAGGCACCTTCTGGAAACTTTTGTTTTTAATGGATTGAGATTCCACACTTTCACCATCAATTTGCAATTTAATACCATCAGCGTGGGCAGGGTGATCAATACCCCGTGGATTTAAACCACAATGGAGAGCTAGAAAAGAGGACCAAAATGGAACTCAGAAAATAAATCATACAAAGAAAGTGTCAGACATGAGGATGCACACCTATAATCCAAGCTACTTAGGACATCACAACATGAAGCAAGCCGGAGTTGGTAAGTTAGCAAGACCCCATTTCAATCAATAAGGAGGACTTAATGGTGTAAGCCTATAATCCCAAGTATACCAGAGGTCAAAGATAGGTGTGTGGCAGTTGGAGGCCAATGCCAAGCAAAAACACAATCACTTAAACAAAGCAAAAAGGCTTGGCTTAAGTGGTAAGGTAGTCGAGGCCCTCAGTTCACGCCATAATACCACACACATATTTTTTTAAAAGCCCATTAAGAAATATTACAATAGGCCTAAGTGAAAAGAAACAAGGCATCTACATCTCAGTGTTAAGAAACAGAACAGGTAAGAGCTTGGAAGGCAAAAAGCTTTATGTGCAAATCCGGTATCTAATTTCAAGCACCTCACTAGGCTTACATTACAGATGAGAATCCCAAATCATCCAGCTTTCTATTGCAATATGCATTCAATGATTTCAACCCTGTGGTTTGGTGTATACTTCTGTCTTCAGCTGGAAAGTGCCCATCTCTTCCACCACCACCCCAATCTTCTCTATTCTCCAAACATCCACTCTTGCATTCATTCAACCAATACTTAAAAAGTGCTTACTAGAGGACATTCATGGGGCAGACCCTGGCTACACCGATTTACAAAAAGACAGGCAGCCCCTTCACAGAATAATCTAATGGAAGAGGCAGACAAACCAGCTATTTTAAGTTATCACTACTACAGGGAAGAGAAGAAAAGACTCAAGTGAAATCAGGGTTATCAAACCCAATGGCTCTCAAGCCTTTTATTTTATTTTCCCTACATCCTTGAACATGAATAACCTCAATAATAAAACCAAAAGCATGTTTTCTAGGATATTTCCCTAACTTCTTCAAGTTCAAAATGCGACTTCAAGTCTAAAAGGTGACTTCTTCAAATACACCTTCTTATTCTTCAAATATGTCTTCTCAAATATGCTTTCTTATTTCTGCTCCTGAGACCTCCCAGTCTAGCCCATACATGTGGAACAGAAAGTATCCAGTGAATATGATCTAAAGAAACATACATCTGCATGATGTGTAAACCTGTTTGTACAGAGGTTCATATGCATATAACCATATTTCTACTGTTTTATATCTATAGGTATCTCCCATCAGTTACTACATGTCTAAAACCAAGGACTAGCCTTGCCACAGCTTTGTTCTGAATCTAAAATAATCTGTACAAAAAAATTCTAGAAGACATAATTACATTCATTTTCCAGATAAGTGAAATGAGGTTCCAAGGGGTTATAGTCACACAAGGTCATACAGGTATCTGAAAAAGGTCAGAAAGATCAAAGATAAGTTGGAATGCACATGATTTTAAGTTAAGAGATTAAATAGGAAGAAAATGGTTGGGCTTTTATGACAGAAAATCCAGTTCTAGTACAAGTTTACAGTTGGCTGATTTTGTGGTTCTTCAGTGGTCTAAAGAACTTTGACTTTGCTTCTGCATCTCCCTGCTGCTATCCAGAGCATTATTTTCAGGCTAAACTTAAGGACACTAACAGTACCCAGACCTATAAACCAGACCCTTTTTTTCCCCCACATTGGTTGGTTGACCACAGTTCTCTTTCTCCCAAACTTCCTCCAAATGTCCCTCCTTTCCAATTGGCCAGAAGCAAAGTCATGTGACCATTATTGAACTAAAACCCCAGATGTGAAGAAAGGATTACCTTAAAACTGACCTTCAACAAAGTTGATTCCCTAAACTATTTGTCTGCTGCCAAAACTAGGCAGCGGCTGAAAGATAATTTAGTAGTCAAAGCTTGTGAGGGCAGGAGACTAATTACTGTTAATATTAATTCCCGACTCTCCTACTTACAATGAATCATCAATTAAATATACAAAGTGTGATTACACTAAAAAGGTGTGCTTCTGTTGGGAGTTGAAAGATCCATTAATGAGGTAGAGAAAAAGAGATAGCTGTGCTCTTTCTCTGCAGCAATATCCCCTGCTGCTTTCTGCCTTGAAATTCAGGACCAAGGAATACCAACCGTTGTTACAGTAGCCAATATGGTAGGTAATATGGTAGCCCCCTTCCAGCACCTCTCAGTTTTTTCTATCTCCTCTCACCAAAGGAGATTCTCATACTTCCTTCACCTCCTCTCATTATGTTCCCTCTCCATAAAAGAAGTTCTATTCTACCTGTGCATTACTCTACATTGCAATCAGCAGGGCCACTGGCTTCCAACTTGTGGGGAGACGTGTTTTTTTGAACATGAAAAAATGATGGTGCCCTCAAAATGGCCTTTCAAAACAGAGCTAGAGTAGTCGTGTATCTGCAGTAAAAACAAACTTCCCTGCTACATTTTTTTTCTAAAGAGCAGCGTTTATAAAGTCTGAAATTTCCACATTTCCTTCTGAAGAATTCAGTGTTAGTGATGTTCACATGAACATTACTAAGAGTAGAGGCATGCCAGGTAAAGACCTCCAGCCACCTGCAGTGTCAACTCAATAAGCAGAAATCCATTTGGCATAGGAATGGCTGGGAAAAGCAATGACAATAGAAGAGAGTCTTGAAGCTGCCCTACAAGCTGCTGAGCCCAACAAACTGAGTAAATAACTTTAGTGAAAGCAAGGAAGGGGACAGGAGGGGACAGAGTAAAGAAAGCAAAATGTGTGTACAATTTATAAGATGAGCAAAGAGACAAAAGTCACATAGAAGAAGGCAATGGAAAGTAGCCCGATTTGCAAATATTAGGGTCACAAAATTTCAGGGAAAACAAAGCAAAATCCTGTCAGAAATCGTTTGAAATAAATAAGTCCAAGCACAAAAACCTAAATCAACTACTGAGTTTGCAGTCAAAGAGGGAACAGCTATGGAGGATTAAAATATTTGTGTGAGGAATTAAGCTACGTGAACAGAAAGTCAAATACCTCCTGTTTATAGGTATCGTACATTTTGTGCGCCGAATATTTACTCGTAGGACAAAAAAAAAGTTTCCTTCTGATTTAAGGCAAGATTATGTAAATGAAGTTCTCAGGTTCCTTCTTCAGTGCATTAAGTATTTCTGAAGGGCACATATGTGCTGGAGTAGACATGGGAGGGAAGAGCATGGTAATGACTGACATGCCCTTACATTGTGCTGGGGCACAGGTAGACCAACTTAGTGGACGTCTGCAGTACTTTCTGAAGAGATGAAGCATGAGGCAGCATGGTAGCTCGAAAATCCCACAAGGCTTTCTGACACAGAAATCCAAGCTGTCACAGAAGAGTAGTGCATGATAGTTTTCCCACAGAGAAGGCAGGAGAGCTGGGATGGAATGGATCTTTCTTGGAGGGAGGACTGGAATGAGCAGGTGTGAAGGAAGCAGGACAGACCGATTTGATGGGAAATGGATAGGGAAAAAAATAGGGGGTATTGTTCAGTCAAGAAGTAGAAAGATCCCAAATGGCCATGGATGAAAAAAAATGGATAAACAAAATAGGATACACACAACTGAAATATTTTTCAGCGACCTTAAAAAGGAGACTCTAATAGACACTACAATATGGATGAACATTAAAAACAGCATGCTAAGTGAGATCAGCCAGGCACAAAAGCTCAGATATCATATGATTCCACTTACAAGAGAGTAGTCAAAATATATGCAGATGGAAAATTCAACCCTGACTACCCAAAGGCTCAGGCAGATAAAAATGAGTAGCTATTGGCCAGTTATATGTGTAATGAAAGATCCAGTTTGGGAGAACAAAAATGTTTTAGAGGTAGATATTGGTGACATACCAAAATGTGAGTGTATTATTCAATGTCAGGGAACTGTATGCTTACAAAGTTCAAATGGTATTTTTATACTTAATCATGAAAAAAGATAAACTTTACAAACCAATCAAACCAACAAAGAAAAACACTCTTCCTTATTTCAATTACGCTATGTCCAGAAGTGGAAAGAAAAGTTCCAAAGATATTTGAAATTCAACTATCTGAGTTTTCTCAATCTCATTGTGATTTCATTAGGACACACTTGTTTCCGTTGTTTCCGTACATATGTGAAAAATAATGGTGGCACAGCAGTACTAGATTGCTCTAGAATTTCCCCAGAGAAGAAATTTTCTCCCAATTAGGTGGTATTCCAACTGGGTCACTGATGGCTGGAAGAGAACCTGGGCCCTCCAGGGCCTCATCTCTGAGAGTAACTTTTCTGATATGACTATGGAGAAGTGCTAGACTTTATAATGTCTCTGCACGACAGTACAAGATGAGCCTTGGAGAGCACACTGCATTCATTCAGAATTACAAGTGAATCTTACTCTTTAAGAAGTCATTCAACTCCCTAATCCTGCCAGTCCCCACCCAGAGCACAAGCTCCACACAGGAAACACAGGATAGTACCTCATTCCAATTTAATGGTCTTTCATTCTGCTAGAGCTTGCATTGAATAGAGATAGTACACAGCACTCCCAAAACATATTTAGGATGAAATGGCTTCTGCACCAATTGAGCCTCCACTGCCTTTAGATAGAAACTTCTAGCTGCTCCCCCATACTGTTGTAAGAAAACAGAGATGCCACATTTTGAGAGGTCCAGTTTTGGAGTCTTTATTAAAAGGCCGATGACTGCACAGTGGACTCCTGTCTCAAAGACCAGCAGCCAGTAAATACACTTGACACTGTTAGGAAACTGAGCCATGAAGGCCAGAGAGGAAAGAAAGAACAAAAACAATACACCATGGTGACCAGAGAGGAGCCAAGAGACGGGAGACAGGACACAAACATGGAGACACATGGCATGGTATAATTGCACCTGAGCCGGATGGGGCCTAAATAGGGTCAGGTCAGGGGAGAGGGTCACAGGAACTGGACTGACAGGTTTAGTAACCTATCAGTCCAGTGCCAGCTCCTGCCTCCAGGGATTTAGGCATACCCATCACAAGGGTGGGGCAGGGGACAC